TCCTGGAATAATATATATATATATATTTGAACTTAATTTCAATCCTTCATGAGCTTCTGATCCTTAGTTTTAATTAATTAATGATGAACATGTCATTTTCGTTTGATTGATTTCATCATGATTCTTCTGTTAAGCTTGGAGAGTAATTATACATTTTTATTTCAAAGTGGAGTCCAATAGTATTTGAAAAACCTTGGAGAATTCCAGTAAGATATCTTTAATCATTTCTAAGATACAACAGTTCAAATCTTAATCTAACAAATAGACAATTTTGCTTTTACACAATTTGGACAATTTTGCTGTTACATCTAGTATTATACTAATTTAGATTTATTTTACAATGTAATATTCTTTATTGTTAATTATTTGGTTGGTGCAAAAATAATATCGTTTTTTGACGTTCAACTTAACATCAAAAACGACATTATTTTTGCACCAACCTAATACTTGTAGCAAGTGTATTCTTTTTTGGTCAAAAGTTTGGTTTTCAGCTTTATTTTTCATTAAATAATATTGAGTTCTTCTTTTGAGAAAGAATTATTAATGGATTCTTTGATAGCAAGGCAACTTAGTAAGTTCAATTATTTTATTTGAGCTTTTTATTTTAAATTAAAATTCAGTGAATATTTGGTAGTAAAGTAGCATTTGGTAAGTACTGGCAAATGAAATAGTTTTAGATAGATTATGACTGTTTGCAAATCTATCTATATTCTGTCACCGAGGAAGCAGTTTATTTTCTTATTTCTGTAACTAAATATATATACATATCTGGCTCAGTAGAGCTTTGAAGTAAAAAAAACTATTTCAGCTGTCTGTATAGACCTATCTTAAAAGGAATGGAGAAAACTTTGTTCAAAAGTGAAAGCAGATATGTTTTAAAAATGCAATAAGTCATTTTATAAGGTGAGATGACTGCTTAAACACAAAAAAAAAAAAATAAATGTGAATGAAAATACTAATTCAAATAATGTACCGTACTCTTGATGAGACCTAAAACATAATGTAAGTTGCATTTCCTGCAGTTGAGTAAGATAACCACACACTGCAAAGGAACCTGCTTACTAAGTAAATGCCTATAGACTCAAATATAAACAACCAATATTTACCTATCACCAAACAAAATTAATGCTTATAGATTCAAATATAAATGAGCAATATTTCTTTTTTCTTTCTTTTATGTGCTGTATCCCTTTAGACAATTATGGCTCTCCACATCTTCTTGCCTCTTGTAGCTCTTAATAAGTTTTCTTTTTGCTATTTCTTCCAAACTCTATTCTACCATCCATTTACTCAAGCTCAATAAAGTATGTTACGTGCTACTTTCCTCTTTCCCTTAATTTGTCCTGTGAGTATCATATTTTCCAAGCCCTCCTTCCTTATTATGGGCCCCAGAAATCTCAACTGCCTCTTCCTGATGTTAAGTATAATTTTTTTTTGTTTCCATTTTCTTTAAAACCTCATCATTGCTGATATGTTCAATCCATTATTTACTATCTTTCTGTAGAACCATATTTTTGTTGCTTGAAGTTTCTTCTTCATCTTTGAGGTGATTGTCCACTATTCACTATCATACTGGAGGACAGATATCACATAAAAGTTCAATACTCTTTTCTTTGTTTCTAATGAAATTTTTCTGTATCTCAATACTCTATTTAGATTTTGGAATGCATCTTTGGCCATCCCAATGCGTCTTTAGATCTCAGTGTCACACTTTCTCTGTTAGAACATTTCCCATATATTTAAATTTTTGCACTTATTTGATTTTAGCATCCCCAATCTGTAATATGCACTTTGGACTCATCTTTCCGATAGAGACAGTACAATCTGTACATCACAGAAGAATCTAAGAAGTATGAATGCTGTAGGAAGATGTAGAGATGTTTACAAATTACTTTTTATAGGAAAAATAAAATCATAATATGGAAACAGAGAAAGCAATAACTGAGCAATACTAAAATGAACAATAGACACAGTGAAACAATTCACATAGACAGTAGAACAAGAATAATCTACCTTTGTAGATTAAATAAAGGGCTCATTTCAAGATTCTTAGAGGGTTACTTTGATCAGCAGGCTCCAGAAGAAGGCCAGAGAGTACAATAGCAGAAACATAAGATGAGGATATTAGTTTGAATGTAAATAATAACTTTTTATCTCAGAAATTCAGACAGAAAATCTCATCTTACAGTTAAGCTGGCTAGATGTAACTGTATTTCTATGCCCACAGTTTCTTTTCTTGCATTTCTCGCTTGTGGAACTCTCTTCTGGCTTCTAGCTTTCCATTCAACTTTGCATTTAATTTTTTGAAGGTCAATGTCAGTTGTTATTTTCTCTTTCCTTAATTCCTATACTTTTATTGTTTTCACTCCCTTTCTTTTTCTCATATTCTCTCACACTCGGTAACCCCTTGTGTCTTAGTGGCTTTATTGCCTTGCTTTGGAAGTGGAAAGAAATGAATTTTTTTTTTTTTTTTTGAAAAAAAGAAAATATGGAAATATTTTTAAAAAAAGATATGAGGCAAGCTAAAGAAGCTTACTTATTTCTGAGTCCCCCCCCAGATGTTTGATTTTGTCATTTATATTTTATCACTATACAACTTCCTGATATTATAAAAAAGTTGAAAAAAAAAGGACAAGTTTTCCAAATCTTATGACAAATCAAAGAATAAACATTGTTATTTATCTCTCCTCTTTTCTACTGCTGAACTTTATGATTTGTGGTATTTTGTCATCATGTGGCTTCCTTATGCTGTTTGTCTGATATTTCTTGAGATGTATTTATTTTTTATGTAGCATTGGAGATTTTATTGTTCTGCTTTTATTGGCCTTGTGTTTATAAAAGCAAATGTGAGAATAGAAGAGCAAGTAAGGAATCTTAACTGACACTGAAATGAGTGGGATGTTTCTTTCATGCTCTCTATGTTTTAACTCATTCCATGACAAATTCTAACCATTTGGCCATAAACGTCTAATACACTTCACTATAAATTCATTTGGGAAAATGAAAATTAATAGTAAAATAATTTGATTGTTATTTATGCATAATAATGTAATTGAATATAAATATGTACAGATATTTATAAATGGATCCACATTACAACAGAATGTGACACAAGGTCTGAGCTTAATGTGGGATTTCCGGAATGCTGTACAAAAATTACTCAAGCTCCCTTGGCATTTCCTTTTTTTGTGGCACCTCAGGTGCTGGGTAATGACCTCAGTTCACTTCTGAAGGAGAGGTACTGTCTGGGAGGATGGGCTCCCTAGGGTTTGAGCTGATATTAATTTCCACTCCCCCCCCAGCATATTGTCAGATGCATATACATATGTTTTTACTCACACACACACACACACACACATGCACATTTCTGTTTTTAACTGAGGCAAGAAATTGCTTATGCTAACCCAAAGGAGAGCACTCATTGCAACTTGTCGGTCTCACGTTTTCCACTGATATGAAGTAAAACAATTATATTGAATCACTTGCTAGGTCTGCTGTGAGGAAAGTTGATTCACTGTGTCATACTAGATAATTTTTCTTGATAGAATCTATCTTACACATTTATAAGTCTACCATTTTTTTGTGCATTGAATATTGTTGCCATGTTTTGTCTGGTGCCTTTGCTTTCTTGACAAAATCCAAAGAAGAATCTATAATGTTATTGGACCTGACCTGGCATCTTGGTTTCAGTCACTTTCCCCACTAATGTAATTCCCTGTGTCTTTTCTACAAATACTTTCATGGTACTTGTTCTGACAAACTTTACCAATTTGGAACCTTGCCTTCACAAATTTAAGTGCAGTACTAGATTAGTAGCTAGTCCTCATAATTTCACTGTTGAAATTGCTAGATGTAACAGTAAGTTCTATGCTACTTCTCACATAACAAGGTTTAGTCAAGGTAGTCTCTTATTGCCAAAACATAATGAGGAGAAGGTACTCCATCTTGTTGAAAAAGCAATTTGATGAAGTTAACTCTGGTTCTGAATTGTGAAGCATGTTTAAGTAATTGTTATTGTAAAGATTCACATCAGTATGTGAATAATTAAACAATTGTATATATAATACATACTTTTGGCCCACCGTGTGTGTGTGTGTATATATATATATATATATATATATAGGGCTGCAAATTCTGAGTCCTCTTAAATAGAATCCAATGATCGTTCCAGATTTTATTTTGTTATGATGGAAATAGAAATTTATTAGATCATCTTTATTAGCTGATTTTTGGTAGACACTGTTTTAAGCTGCTGTCAACACAGTGTAGCATAATATCTAGGAAAGGTAAAGTATTGTTTTCTTCCATTTCATATGTAAATTCTATTGTATGTTTGACGTTTAGTTTATTTACAAGATCAGGTAAATCAGTATCACAGGGATATATTAATAGAGCATCATCAATATATCTATCTATATATATACACAAGAGAGAGGGAGCACATCTTAGTATGACTTATATTTGTATACTTCAGCTGCAGTCTTTTGAATAGGAGTAGAAGTTAAGCCCTTGTTTAGAATTAGGTTTTTGGTTCCTTCTAAAGTCTTTTTCATTCTCTTTCACCTCAAGTAATCCCTTGAATCTTAGTCGCATTATTGCCTTCATGTCTTTGGGTATCTTAGTCCTTCTTTTTGTCTTAAGACATTAGTCTATCATAGATATACTAATACCTATAGTGAACCTTGGATAAGGAAGATGACCAAGCACTTTCTTTTTTTGAAGAATAAATACTTGGGATAGGATTTAGAGGGGATCTTTTTTTAATGTGAGCAATCTTTTAATGATATTTGGTCATTTCATTATTTATAAAAGAAAATCAAAATATAAGGCTTTAAGTAATATTATTTTATATTTACAAATCAGTTCTATATCTGCCCGGGACAAGTTATCATAGAAAAAAATAACAGAATTTTTATCAAACATTGATATAATTTAAGCTTTAAAATATAAGTAATTACAATAAAATGCCTTTTATTTTGCATTCAATTTTTTTTCTTCAGGGAAATATGTTGACCAATGACCAGTTAGGTTTGGCTGGAAATGTCCTTGCAGAGATTGGTCAACAAACAAATCTCCCCAATCAGTCATATCTACCACAACCAACAAGTGCCAACTTAGGAGAGTTTTCAAATCTGGCTGATACAACTGGTCAGATATCCATTATGCAGGGAATTGAACCATCAGAAAGTTCTTCAGTACTTCCTACCATGTCTACAGAATTATCAAGCATGTCTTTTGCTACTCAACAGCCATCTAGTGCCAACCAATTTAATCCAACCAATACTGAGGGTAATAAAAGTAGCCGTCCAGTAGCTGTTGTACCAGCAGCCATGAGAAGCAGCTTCCTAATCGGGGTAAGTTTCATTATTTCGCTTTTGCTGTTTTCTGATTGGCTTGCATGGTTTCTTAATATTTTTTTGTGATATTTGATTGGTGCAAATTAAGCAACTTTCTTATTCTATTCTTGTTGGCACCACTTGTATGTTAACTTTTCTGATTGGTGTAAGCTTTGTGTTATCATTTTCTTGGTTTTTTGATTGGTGTAAATTGATTTTATTTTTTTTTGTTGATTTTATTGTTGTTCACTTATCAGGTATCAACACCATTCACTTGTCAAAAGTTAACGACAAACATAAAAATTTCATAATTTGATGATCATGAATACAAGTCACAATTTGCAAAAAATAAATTTCAATCTGATATAACAATCAAGATAAACCAGATTCTAGTGAAATGTATATACAAGTCAAGTGTGTCACTTAATTTAAAACTTTTTGCCACATTCTTTCTGTTAAAATCTTATCTACAACAAAAGTTAATATCACTCGCAGGCCTATTCTAAGTTGATACCATGCACATACCTATGAGAAGTTGATATAATATATATAACATTGATAGTAAAAAAAAAAAAATAAAAAGAAGTTTAAATATCTGGGAAGCGTTTTAACAGAGGAAGGAAAATGTGGTACCAAAATCTGTATGCATATTGAAATAACCAAAGAAGCATTCCAGTAACTAAGTAAAGTATTAAAAAATGGGAAAAATCTCATTAGAAACAAAGAAAAGAGTACTGAACTACCATGCAATATTAATCCTTCTATGTGACAGGGAATGATGGACAATTTCATCAAAGATGAAGAAGAAAATTGAGGCAACAAAAATATGGTCCTACAGAAGGATCATGGATGGAGTGTGTAAGCAACAAAGAAAACTTAAGGAAAATAGCAATGAAAAAAAGGATCCTTAGAGTCAGAATGAAAAAGAGACAGCTGAAATTTCTTGGACACATGAGGAACAAAGGCTTGAAGAATTTGACACTCACAACAAGGGAAGGCAAGCAACAACATTGAATGGGCTACCATTGGCAGCAATGTGTTAAATAGTAGGATTGACTAAGCTCTTTTGTGTGGCCAACAGTGTAAAAGAAAAAATTCAATTCCAAACCATGGAGAAGGCAACAGGATATCACTCCATTATCTTTCCCACCAAAGCATAGCCATTCATAGATGATAAATAAAAGCAATCCTTTTGTTTTTAATCATTCCACCCCAAACAAGGCAATAAAGCCATTAAGACATGGAGATACTGAGTGAAAAAAATATGAGGAAAAAATCAAGATAAACAAGAATTAAGAAGGCAGAAGATAACGATGGGCATTGGATTTAAATCTTTGAAGTTGACTGGAAAGCAAGAAGCTGGAAGAGAGTTGTACAAGTGAGAGGTGTGAGAGAAGAAAATGTTAGCATAGAACTTATTGTTACATCTAGTAATTTCAACTGTAAAATGATGAAACCTAGTTGCCAATTCAGTACTGTACTTAAATTTGTTAGTTTCACCATTCTTATTTAAAGCTTGACAATCTTTCAGCACTAACCAATAACACATCAACAGTTGACCTAGAGAAGCGAAAGCCATATTGCTTGTCTGAAAGTAAACCCTGCAGGATGTGATGTTTAACCAAATGGAAAGTTGTAATGGCTTATGTCCTGAAGGGAGATTGCATTATAACAGAAAAAGCAGTTACAATAACCTTACCTGATTTTGTAAGATTTAACAAAGAAAATAATTTTGCAGAAAAATATACTATCCTATTATAAAACATTTTTAACTCCAATTTTACTGCTACTTTGAATTATTGATATTTGATTCAGAAAGTTTAAAAATACTGAAAGTATTATAAAAAAAGAAATTGCTTTTCTCATTATGATCATCATCGATATTTCTTGTGATTATCTTTTTTTTTTTTTTTAAGAATAATGGCATCCCAGATTATGAGAGTGTTCGAGAAGAAGAAAAAAGGAAATGGTTAATGGAATTAGGTGAGCCATTATCAATTTAATTTTCTCTTCTTGCTAACTTTTTATTTAAACTTAGGGATCAAACTGAAGAATAGCAAATAGTCAAGTATCTTTATTTCAGTTAATATACTCTCTGTATACTACTTGTTTTATTTTGTTTTAATCAATTTTATTTTATTTAAAATAATCTTCCAGGACCAGTGGTATTGCATTGTAATAATTATTTGTGAACTTATAAATTCTACATTTAAAGATCAAATCCTGGAACAACAAGCATTCATGCATATTTAATACATGATATCATTGATTTAAATGTAGCTGTATTATTGAATGAGTAAAGGAGTGAGTGCTTTTACTCAGTTACATTAGTTTAAATATCATGAAGTGAATCATTATTTCTGTGATGAGTGATAATAAAAATTTTGATCTCCTGAAAATGTTTATGGGAATTTGTTTACATAGATGTTAACATCTGGTTGTTTATGGGAATTTATGTTAATAAGCAACTGCCATATATACTAACATTGCTGCAAAAAATCTTATTTTGCAATGGCTGATAGATACAAATAAAGGGCTAAAGACATTTTAACCTACCTATGACAGAATGGTCATGTAGTATAACTTTCTCTCTTTATCCTAAAAATAGAAAGGATTGGTATATTTAGTATCTTTGAAAATGTTGTAATGGAATGTCCCATACTCCCTATTGCCTATGAGGACTGACTATATCAGTAGCTATATATAGTGAGCGCAGGATATACCTGGTGGCTTGCTTCAGGAATTAGTCTAGAGTTGGAGATTCGTCTCCAGCTGTGTTGGTCAAACTCTCTGCCTTTGGGCAGAGAGGATCCCCAGATGAAGCAATGCTGAAGGGCAGTCTCTCATCTCGGGAAACAGCTACCTGACCCCATTTTATACAAGATCTACAGGGAATTTTTGGCTGAGCCTACGGGCTCGGATACCCCACATTAAATTCGGCCTTGTGCCACATCTGACCATGTGGGGCAGTTGGTAGATATACTTGCTTCAGGAATTACTGGCCTGCCATCTGATTCCCTGTCTTTCAGTAGTGTATTCTCTTTTACAATAAAAATCTCTTCTTTCATCTATGCACGTGTTGCTGTTCCTTCACTTGAGTACCACCTTTGTCTGTTTGTAACATCTTTAAGGATACAACAGAAAATTAATCTTTTTATACTCTTGTTAATGCCCTTGTTTTTTTTACTCATCAGTACTTAGAGTGGGTAGTGTAATAGTTATCAACTCCAAAAGACAAATCTATGAGCCACATTTGAATTCTGTCTGAGTTTGTTATGTTCATTTTTGCACAAATACTTGGGAAAGGTATAAATCCATTTCTTCTCCCCTCCAGCTATGAATTAAATAGCAGGGCTAACTAGACTTTGTTACTTTAATCTAAGAGAAAGAAAACTTTGAATTCAAAACAAGCCTGAAAACAGATAGGCTACCTTGCACTAGACACGTCACTGCTGCTATAGCTGTAGTACATGTGATACCCCTATGACTCTAATTAGGTATGATATAATGTGACATGACTTAATGCCTAATTTCTGCTCTTATTTTTTTTTAAATGGTTTTTGGATTTATAAATAAAAAAAATATCTGATTACAAATACTTCAATGTATTCAATAAGTTAAAAGCTATTTGAGGTCTTTGCTTGTTAATTTTATTCAGTCTTGAACCTCTTTGAGTGACTGATATGCTCTTTCCAAGAGAAATTACTTTGTTTCTGAAATGGCTGACAAAGAATCTCTTGAGAAATATCTTTGTCTTTGGTCATACCCAGTCAATGAATTGAATAATGATTCCCCACATTTCCTAGGTGGTGGTGGAGGCAGTCTTTTGAAGATATCTTGCTGATAGGAAATCAAAGAACACATATCCTAATCCCAAATTGCTAAAATAAGAGATGAAAATGGAATGCAAGAATATCTATTGATGTACGTCATCTAAGTTTGTCAATCAATCTAGGTCTCTTTGGGGAAGATTTAGAAATGACTATTGATTATCATAGAAATTTTTTTTTTAAGTTATTATTATTTTTTAAATTTAATTTTTTTAAATTCTCTCCTTGGGAATTTTTATTGATTGATGACTTTTTGAAATGAATTTTTTTCTGATTTTGTTTTTCTGGTCATCACTTGTAGAGAAACAGAAAGAAGAACAGAGGTTACGTAAGCTGGAACAAAATGATAAATTTAATTCACCCACAGACAATGTATCTTTCATCCATGAAGTCTCTTCTATGGCACAAGGAAGTGATGGCTCCCACAGTCAGAGGTAAGTTGTTGATTTTATAAAATAAATATAAGATTCTGGATTCACCTCTTTTCTGTTGCTCTGTTTTGTTACTTTCAAATGGCCCCTTTGTTTATGCAATCAAATTGTCCACAATCTCATTTTAAGAGTCAGTGGTAGAGAAAAGATTTTAAAATTAAAATTTCTTTTTTTTTTTTTAAATTTTTTTTTTTTTATTACCAACTAATACTCATTGATTCAACATTCCCAAAGAAAATTATATCTGTCTTCCATCTGTCAATGTTTTTGCCATCAATGTCTGGGTAAGAAAAATAATTAAAGGAGCGTGGATTGCCCATATATTATCTTATTCATTCTTTTTCTCTGTCTACCATTGTGGCATTCCAATGGTAACGGTAATATTAACCATTTCCTTATTTTGTTTAGTCAATGAATTCAGCATTCACTGACCAAACAATTACCATTATTGTCAGTTGATATTTATAACATCTTTCTTCCAAAACAGTTTTTCAGGAAAATACATTTCTCATGTTTATAAGCTGTTATTACTCTTTCTAGTATTGATGGCAGTTTCCTTCCTAACCTTTTTGTTTGGAGTAGTATGGAAAGTCACCATCTTGATTATGTCATTATTTTCTCTTCAAGCTAATTACTTTGTCCATTTTAGTTGCTACTGCAGTTGAAAATCTTAAAGTGATGTTGTTTCTGTTATTTGGTAAAGTTCTTTGTGATTCTGAAGAACAGATCCACAAGATTTGATGAAGAATGATCCTCTCTAAGACCTACAGGGTTCATTTGCTCAAAGCCATTTTTATCATTGATCTGAGAAAATGGTCATATACAGCTGACAGTTTAGTTATTTCTGAATGGCTTGGATGGCATGGTTGACAACCATATGAGAGTTTAGAGCCGACAAGACTATTTAAAAACGTGACTCAAGTTCTTAGATTAATGTTTTGGTTTTGTAGTATCTTGTGATGTTGGATAAAACTACCTCTAGGGCAGCCTATGTTCAGTTTCCTTGTCTCCTATACTAAATTGGTTGTAACTTATCAATACACAGATATTTGAAGTGTTTAATATTTAATAATTTTATATATTGAATTTTTATGATGGATTTAGAGTAGGTTCCATCATTGCTATCCTTCTAGTTCCAGATTATAGTTTCTGTCTTGGAAAGGTTTGAGACCTACTTCTTGGAACACTTGGTAGAAAATTTTGCTTTTTTTTTTTTTTTTTTTTTCAAGATCATTTTTATCCCAACTATGAATAGTTTATGTCATCAATATAGCCCTCCACCCCAAAATCATAAGCAAACTTGCCTTAGTAGGGAAAACAGGAATTCATGTCTGATGTGGTATGGAATACTTAAAGGATCAGTGCCTGTCTCTTCACATCAGTTCTTGTATATGCACATAAGAGATTAAATAGATTGGGGCACTCATTTTCTCCTCATTGTACTCCTGATGATATTTGAAATGATTCTCTGATCGAATCTTCACCAGACATATTAGAAAGACCATTTTTTTCAATTTGAATTTCAACTTGCTATACAGAAATTTAACCCATTACTGCCCACTATAATATTTGATATTTAATTATAAAAATAAAAATCTGGTATTAATTAATTTAGAAAAATGTAAAATAAAAACTATATTAATTATTGGTCTCAAAAGAATCTGGTGTTAATTATAGGTTTCTAAAACTCCAAATTACAATATTATTAATAGGTTTCTAAAAGAAATCTTGTATTATAGGCTTTTAAAAAAATAAAACTAGTATTAATTTTAGTTTTAAAAAAAATAAATCTGGTATTTATTATAGGTTTCTAAAAAAAAATCTGTTATTAATTATGTTTCTAAAAAAAATCTGGTATTAATTATAGGTTTCTATTAAAAAAGAAAAAAATTATCCAATATTAATTGCAAGTTTCTTAAAAATAATGTATTAATTATAGGTTTTTAGAAATAAAAAATCTGGTATTATAGGTTTCTAAAAAGAAATCTGGTGTTAATTATAGGTTTTTATTAAAAAAAGAAAACATATTCAGTATTAATTGTAAGTTTCTTAAAAACGACTGTATTATAGGTTTCTAAAAAAAATAAATTAAATAAATAAATCTGGTGTTAATTATAGGTTTCTAAAAAGTTTGGTATTAATTATGTGTTTCTACCTAGAGTCCATTAAAGCTCACTGTCCCATTTTTAGGATGGTGGGCATTAACAGGTCAAGCTAAGGATTAAATACCAGGGTAGATTGGGCTCCAGCCTTGGGTGATATCCAGTCTGAGAGAAGGCCAACTCTGAATTGTAAAGAAAGGAATGTGTGGAGAGCCAATGTCCTGGAAAAAAAAAAAAACAACCAAATTGTGTCATTTACCTATGTTTATTTATTTTTTTTTGATACTGTCAGGAAGTCAGAAAATGAAAAAAAAATACTGAAAGTGCAACTTTTTAGGTCAACATTAGAAACAGTCCTTTTATACAAGTAAAACAGTTGGGCATCAACAAAATCACTGACAAAAACATTAGATTGCACATATACTCAACTATCAAGAGCAGCATTAAATATCAACTGAACAACAACACATGTCCAATGAAGGACTATATGGGAACATACCAAAGATTACAATGGTCACAATCTGTGAAAAGTAAATGTGGTTTAGTGGCCATTGCTGGAGAAGTAAAAAATGTTGTGCATCAACTAATACTATTGGATCCAAATTCTGAGAAGAGGTAGACAAGTAAGAACCTTCATTGACCAACTTGTAGATGATGTTTGAATCTGAAAGGAAGAACTGTGATGAAATAGGGATGAGAGAAATAGTTGGAAAAAAAGTGTTCAGAAGTGTTTTGAGGATGGTCAGGTAGTTAGATAGGAAAACCAAAAATGAATAATTGAAACTCAGGTGATAAATGTCTTCTGATTTGCAGAACTAGCCACTTACGGGGTCATCTTAACCTGCACATGGATCCTGTCACCCAGCAACAATTAGAAATGAAAAAACGCAAGAATGAAGAATTGATGGTAAAATTAATTTTATACACTTCTTTATAACAATAAAATGATTCCAAGAATGATTGTTGTTAGCAATCAAAATTTGTCTAAACAAGTGAAATATTCTAATGTCTTTAAATTTTACTAATCCTTATTATTTTGCATTGTTGCATTGCTCTAGATGACAATAGTGTATACAAAATTAAAACGATAAACAATGGGTCATCATATTAGATTGCATTCAGTCAGTTATGTACCATATGTGATAAATGCTTTGGTGATCATGTATCTTTTGATACATGACTGACGGGGCAGATTTTTTCTTGCAGTAGTTTGCCATTTCTTTCTGCGGTAGACCAGTTGCCATCCAAGGCTATAGATCCCAGTCTGTCCTGCTATTTACCCATAGATGGTGGGAGAAGAAGAGGATTCATACCTTTCCCAAGGGTATTAGCACATAAGTGAATGTAATGGATTTGACTGGAATTCGAACTTGGTTCTCCAATTCCTCTATCCGAGCTGCTATCTATTACTCCAACATGCATTAGGAGAATCTAAAAAAATAAAGAAGTTACAAAAAAAAATTCCCTTTGTTGATGAGAAGGAAGTTCCACTCAGACAAATTTTCCCCTTGAACTGCTGCATTGGGGAACAGACGATCTTAACTCCTTAAAGTCTTGGGTCAACCACTATTTATCTTACATATCCTCATAATATGCACTTCTTCCCCCCACCCAACTGTACACCCTTACAACAACAACAACAACTTCATTTAGTTACCCACTACTTTGACTTGCTCTTAGGCCTTGTATTAAATGAAAAATCTTTTTATTTAAAGTAAATAAAACTTAAAAGATCAACTGGCCACTGGATGCAAGCAAGAGGCAGGGGAAGCTGCAAAACAGGTAATTAAAGAGGTGTATATTTTTAAACAAAGGTATCCAGAGAACATATTAATATGGTTCAAGAGAGAGATAAAATAAAATGAACAAATAACTAAATGTAATGATATTAATGTAGAGGATCCATCAAAAAGTAATGACTGTTTTACTTCAATTACAACAGATTTAATAGTAGAAGTGAGATCACAAGGCTGAGGTTAAAATGGGGGATCTATCTATCTATATATATATATATATATATATATATATATATATATATAATATAATATACATGAGCCCGGAAGCCAAAATTAGTCAACTCCCTTCATCATTTCCTCTTTTGAAGACACTTCAGGCACCAGATAATGACCCTTGTCTCCTCTCAAATGAGAGGTATTATCTGGGGAGATGAGATCATCTCCTCCTTGCTACCTAGGACTGGACTCAAATAGTTAAATTTGTGCCCTAGGGCAAAAAGGCATCAAGTAGCATACAAAGCATGCTAAAATGAACAAAAATATTTTAAGATTCCAAATCTAGTCTTCAATAATCTTTCTTCTGAAACATTTGAATGAGGGCATAAATACTCACTTTGTAGAAGCTTATTTGTTGCTTTTTTAGTCATGTGTGAGTTGCCTCCTTCACCCCGTCATCACTGGAAAACTTCTGTCTTTCATGGGCCTACACAGACGAAAGTCTGTAGGCTCCAGGTCAGAACTGCAATGTGAATGAGGCAAGGTTGCTCTGTGATGCATTGTCATTGCTTCAATGGTCTTTAAGTTGTTATGAGGCCTTCTATTGTCATGTCACAAAAAGTACATTAGTCATCTTTAAATGTGGCTTTGCTCTGAGTTTTTCATAATGTAATAAATCAGAATTGATGGTAGTGTCATTAGGTACAAACTCCCTTCTGGTTCCAAAACACAGAGGTCATCACTTTCCCTGTGCAATGTTCTATCTTGAATTTTTTTTTCCTCAGTGATGTCACTCTATTGATCTTCTATTGTCTGGTTCATAACATTGAACCCAGATTTCATCACCTGTGACTCTACTGGTTAGGAAGGTACTTTTCATGTTGTACAATTCCAGATGCTCTTGGCCAATAACCATACTCTTCTCCTTCATGAAATTTGTTAGCATTCTGGGAGACTCTTCGCACAGAACTTCGAGTAGCCAAGATATTGCACTAAACTACAGGCAGTACCATGTCTTACTTGAAGGCTTTTACAGAATTTTGCAATAATGATTCTTCTATCAGCTGCAATGAGATCCTCAGCCTGCCAGGTCTGTCATTTTTGTTAATATTGCCATTAATTCCATTTATTGATCTCCTTACATAAGGTGAAAATTTTCTATAAACATTCACTAACCTACTGTAAAGTTTTGCAACATTTCGAAAAATAGAAATTATATAGCAGATCTTTTTCTACATGTGTACAGAGGAGCAGCTATTTTGAAATAAGTATTATGGGAAGGAAAAGAGAAGATAGCTCCATAAATTTTTCCTTTGGCCCTCTAGATTTTTTATGATCTATAGCTATAAAAAAATAATTAAATTAGAACAGACATTATTTTTTAACCAAATTTTTTTTATGTGCTTTGCTTAACCTCTATATATATGTTTTATTCTTTTCAGAACATCATGTGTTAACTGCTTTATAACTTTTGATTTTGAACTAAAAAAAACCTTTGGGCATTCTATAATATTTTAGAACATGAGTAGATCTATTTTTTAATTTTTTTTATACCCAACAGCATCAATTTTGCAAGAACAGTAACAAAAACTAGGGTATTACTTTGAGCTATTTCTGAGTTAAATGTGGTGTTTTATGACTGTTAAAAACATTTTGGATGTGAAAAATATCCTTCACTTGCTAGTAAGGATTTTAGCTATATAAATAAATATATTTTGTATATGTACATGTTTTATTCAACTGTATTCTAACTTTAGGGATGAAATTTCACAAATTATGAATGCTTGCTCTTTTTATATTGATAATTTTTATTGGTTGTATATGTTTATAGCAATACATGTGAGTAAAAAAAACAAACATATTTTCATGATTCCTGTATTATATACTTTTAATTTCTAAAATAATAATTATGCTCTAAAATTATCTGTTTGGTAGAAAACAATGATCTGGTACAGGGTTAAGAAAAGTCAGTTAAAAATGGGATAATTTTTTTTTATTTTTACTCGGATAATAATGAAATAATTCTTCTCAGGTTCAAAATTTGAGACTCAAGTAAATCTTCAAATCTTAAAGTTCTTAAAATAATTTTAACTTTCTGAGACATCTCATGGTCACACTATATGAAATCTTTATACATTCTCACACAGCTGGAGCTCAAAGCACAAATAAATGAACAGCAGAAGCAAAAACAGTTAGAATGGCAGAAAAAGCAGCTGGAGGAGGCAGCAGATGAACAGCGGTTACTGGAGGAGCAGCAGTTATTGAACCAGCAGTACCAACAAGAATTGCAGCAGGAAAAACAGAGAATTGTATGTGTAAAGTCAACCATGAGACTTTTTAATCTTTTATCTTTACCTTATCAGTGCATTGCAGAAAATATCATGGTTCTTTGTGTTGGCTTCAGAATCATTAAGATCTTGGAGAAAATGATTTTTAAAAGAAAAGCTTGAATTGGATGTCTTTAGAAAATTTTAGATGGTTCATTCAAATGATGATATCATAAATATTTTATATTATTAATCTGTCAGAGAAAAAAGGGATTATAAAAATTCTGTGTCATGATCTCATAGGGGGTGTAAACTGGGTGTTATTTTGTTGGTTCTTCTTTTTCCATTTCTTTGGGGTGACTCTGTGATTTCTGGGATTGCTGGTAAATTGTAGAGACACTTTGAGGGAGGTGTGGTCATTTATGTAAGAGATAAATGGCAGTGGCATAGCTACAGTGTGTGCCACTCAGGCAGCCCTTGATTCTCACAAAAAAACAATACAACATATTGCACTGTAACTCCCCATATATATATATATATATATATATATAATAAAGAGATAATCATACATTGAATCAATTAGCAATATTAATGGCGAAATCTCTTCGCTAATAGACTTAATATAAGCATTAAACTACTAACAATCCACTGAATGATGCAATCCTTATGTATAAAATTGTTAGTGAAGAGATTTCGCCATTAATTGCATTAATATTGCTAATTGATTCAATGTATGATTATCTCTTTATAATATAAAATATATACTGCCTAATATAATATGTTTTTTATATATATATATATATATATATATATATATATATATATACTATTAACAGACCCTAAAGAAGAAAAAAAATGAACACATCTCCTCAAATGCATTTCTATCAAGGAAAATAACTGAAATTTATGTAACAACCAAGGTGTATCTCTCATACACAGTGGTGCTGATGCATTAAAAGAACACACCCTTGGTATATTCACAGGTTTCATATTGTCAACAATGATAAACCAGCCCTGAATACATCACCAGATAATGTTCATTGTTTGGTCAAGGTAGTTTAAGTTACTCTAAGTTGAAAAGGTCCTTCAACTGTGAGTAGTGTTTTGACATTAAAACCACTTTTATTTCAATACAGCCTATACAGCAGACCCAAAAGTGCTGTCCCCCCAAAAATGTTGCCTGAGGTGGAAAGTTTCCTCCCTTGTCCTTCCTCTAGCTATGCTACTGGAGATGAGGTATATAGGAGTGAAATAAAATTCTAAGCATTATTGTACATATTTTATTGTCTTGACAAAACTAGTTAGGAAGCATATAAAAAGAAGTAAATGGAAGCATTTATATAACGGTATCCTTATTTGTATGCTTGGTGTGTAAAGTCCTATTGAAAATGTTAACAGACTTGTATTGAAGAGTTTCTTGTTGGTTGGTTAGAGTTACCAGCTTAGGGTATTTGTATGCTGTGTTGTTTCCATGAAACACATGGTTTGCTGTGTATGAAGAAGTCCTCTACCCTGTAGGTAAAGAGAAAGCAAAAAGATAGACATGATTTTACCTGTCCTCTAACTGACCAGTCCATATGGCCCCTAACCAATCAAATTTAAATAATGCCAAGTCTCAATTATCCATCTCTCTGCTTGCCTCATGTTTACAATCAGCAGACACCTGTAACTGCACCCAATTGTAGGTGATCAACTCACCAACTTGACCTTAGTGTTATCATAGTGCTGCAAGTGTGACATTTGGTAATATTGAAAACTTATGTAGTATGTGTCTTATCCCAGATTATGCCTGAATATACTTTATACTAGGTGTGACCAGAGAAGCCAATTGCGTAAAGGGATAATTGGAGATGACCTCTTTGTAATCAAGTGCAGATCCATGATTCACAGTATATCAATGACTGCTCTTACATGTAAACATGTATGGGAAAGTACCGTATGACAGATATAGTTAAACACCACCCACCCACCAGAGAGAGAGAGAAAGAGAAAATATATATTTACATTCTTGTCTGTGATATTTATCCAAGTTCAAGTTAAATAAATTGTAATTTTATATTTGTGAGATAGTCTTGTTTTCATTTGTAATGTTTGATGATACTTCATTATACTTGCATGTTAATTTTGGTTTTGAAAACAAAATTCAAAATTTTAAGGTACTGAGATGAAGACCTTTTTGTCCTGGAGGAGAGAAGATATTTTACAAGGAATTTTATCCTAGATATTCTTACAGTACTTCTTTGATTATGTGTACCTTGATGTTCCAGATTTTGATTATCCGAACATGAAATGGAGAGAAAATTAAAATCATCTAAACATTTTTCCATTATCTAAACTAAACCTGTTGTGATATTTCATCTCAGACATGTGTTTTGAGAATTTAGAGCACCATACTGAATTTTCAAATTTTCAATTTCAAACACCAAAGCAATGAATAATGTTTGACAAATATTTAAGTTGGTTGTACTTTCAACCAGAAGCAACCCTTAAAAATACACCTACTTTAATCCAGATTTGGAAGTTAGAAGCAGAAAAACTTGATGTCTGCAGGAAAAGGACAAAAATTTTTCATCAAATATAAGCTTGACAAAACCTTGAACAAATGTTTGAAAATGTTATTTGATGATATAAATGTTAAATTTCTTTCAGAAAATGACTTTTTTTTTTTTTATAATTTAGGTATTCAATTATTCAGAATTCTAAATTATCCAAACATTTTTCAACTCCTGTCCGAAGGTGTCCGGATAATTTAGGAAGTACTGTACTTTGGCAGTAAATTGAACAGTGATTCATAGATAGTGATGAAAGTAGTGAAAACAATGATTGTTCTAATGCAGCTGACAAGATATTTTGTTGGTTTGATGTCACAAAGCGACATTATTGGATATAGGAACCTCAAGGGAAAATCTGAAATTTTTTATTAACATTTAACTCATTAGTCTTGCCTTGGAAGAAAAAGAGTAAAAATTTATTCCATTAAGTGGTTAAAACTAAAATTTGATTAACAATAAAATTAATAAAAGAGAAAAAACACAACAAATACTTTTAAAAAATTTTTTTTTTTACTTGTGAGTGTCAATAATGAAAATTATTTCAGATTTTTTATGAACATGGACACAGTGTTAATTTTAGAAGCAAAATTTATTGAATATTTTCATTAAAGACAACTCTGAAACCATTGGTGCTTTTAAGATAATTAAAAAAAAAAAAAATGAGTGATTAAATATTTTTTGAATTTTGAAAAAGTGTTTATAAATGTCTGACATGATAATGGGTAAAAATTGTTATTTAAACTTCAAATGATTAAATATTTATTTTTTGGTAGGTAGAATGACAAAATAGCAAAACTATGTAACATGTTTTGAACTTGATCAGATTAAAATGATGTTGTTCGTGTTGATGGATTATATATATATATATATATATATATATATATATATATAGTGGGAGGGTGATTTTATATATATATCTATATATATATCAAGAGTAAATGCTGAAAATGTAGGGATGCTAAACTTTAAATTTTAAATTTCTGGCATCTGATGTGTCTAAACATACAGCTTAAACAACTTCATTCAACTTCCCAAAGCTTTTGTTTTGGTTTTTATTGCTGTTTTTAAATATTCCACATTATGGTAGCAGTAGATTTGTTAAGAAATGTGATATGTTGTACACAGCATTTTTATTTATATTTTCATCCTTTCAATTTATTTATATATAATTACATCAATAAGAACATTATTTTACTTTGATAAAATCCTTTTGAACGACAAAATGCATTACATAATTCTTTTTTTATTTTGTCATTCAATTATTACCATTAGTCTGATATATAGAGTTCATATATCATATTTCTCCCATATTTATTTTTTCTAAATGTTGTAATATGCAGCAAAGTGCAGTAGATTTTAAAGATTGTTTTTGTGTGTTCTTCTTGAATTCAAATAAAACATTCGTATGTATTTTCAAACAGGAAGCTAAAGAAAATAAATTAAAACAATTGGCTGCTACCATTGATCAAGCCAGAGAAGAGGCCTTACTGGATAAGAAACTGAAACGACTTCAGTATCTTGAACGACATGGACATGATACAACTCGTCTGCAAGCTGACTTAGCAGGTTGGTATATGTGCACATGAAATGACTGAATGGTTAGAATGCTTGCTTTCTGATCATTAGACCTGGATTTGAATTTCACCATGGTTGATTTGTCATGAAGGTGACTTCTTGATGTTATTGGTCTTGGGAGGTGATTCTAGTGTGTGGCAAGTACCTGAAAACTATACTATGGGTTGACCCAAGCCTTGAGTGAAATTGAGTAAACAGTACTATTCTGAAGCCATTGTTGGTGATGCTAGCACAAAGTCACAAGATATTGTGACAGAGGGTTTGAGTGTACTGGTGGTGTTCAAACTGCTGATCATGACATGATACGCTCTCTCCCTGAAGCTGTAACTAAGGTTTTCTCAACATATTTGCATTACAAACCACAGGTGGGCTCTGTGGGTGTTGAACAAATGCAAATGTACTTGAGCAGGGGACTGTGACAGGAATTGGCTCGCTGCTATAGCAGATGGGTGTGGTTGGAAAATGAGTAGCTGGCTATTATATATATACAAAAATGTGTATCATGGCTTATCTGATAAGGATGTTGGTTAGCTCAGTATCAAAAATCATTTTTTTTTTTTTTTTTTAAAATGATGTGTCTTTTTATGATGTAGTTGACCATAGCTCTTCACAGATTTCTTCATCTGTGAATGGCCATGTCTTCTTGGGAAAGGTAGTGGAGTGGTTTTCCCATTGCCTTCTCCACAGTTTGGAATTCAGAGTTCTTTCTTTTCTTAGACTGGTTAACCGAAGGCTAGAAAGCCAAGTCTACCCAACTATTTAGCCCATAGATAGGGGCTTTTCCAAGGGTATTTGTGCAAAAGTGAACACAACATTCTAGGCCAAGATTTGAACTCGGATAATTGGTTCTACTTTCTGTGCCAATATCTGTGTTACACTGCACATCCTATGAGTGATCATAATGTAAATTAAATATACAAAGTTAGGGTTTGTATACTTGATCAAATCTCTCTAAAAAATAAATTCAAACCTGTGGGGAAATAAAAAAGGGCAATCACTTTCATTATTGTTACCCTTTCTCTGAAATGTTATAAATTATTCTAGTCTGTACCTGAAATTGGTTTTCTACCAGAGAGAATTATATGTCAATTTCAGTTTAAATTGATCCTTAGCTTATCTGAATTTCAGCCATTTTTACACACAAGTGGCTCATTTAATCAGTCTACTTAAACATTTGGAAAAATACAGATCATTCAAAAGTATAAATATTTAGGAGCGTGCATAAAGAGTAGCTTTGTGCCAAAGTAGGTTTTACTTATCAATAGTATTAAATGTTTACATTTTTATTTACCCAAACAATATTTACTGGCTTTTCAAAGGTAGCTATTCAGAGATAGCTATTTATCATCTATTTTAAAAGCAAGATGGAACATCACTTCCTGTAAGAAATTACTGTAGCTTTTCTGAAATATTCAGTGTTTAATTTTTGACTGAATACAAGTCTCTTACATCTGAGAAAATATTTATTATAAATTAAAAAAGTTAATTTCTTTGTTTGCTAAAATATTTATCTTCCTAACTTTAATTAAAACATATTAACACTCTAATTGTAGATAGATGAATTTCATTCATAACATACATACAGTATATATATATATATATAATATATATATGATAAAAATTTAGTTTAAGGAATGCTATATTTATCAAACACATCTTTGTCCGATGAGTGGTTGCTAATCCTCATGAGGGTTTGTTAGATTACAGATGGAGGGTGGTTTAGATATGTTTGGATATGTTTGACAGATATAGCTTTCAGCATCCCGATTACAGAGTCAGGGGGGTATCAAAATATATATATATAGTGGTCATAAGTTTGCTGAAATCAATCTAGAAAATATGATGATAGTGGTCCAAAGAAAAGAAATAGAAATAGGATGATCATTTGGTACACACTCCCATTTAATCAATTAGTTAGGCCATAAGTTCCTCCAATTGATTGATAAACTTTTTCTGAAAAGTAATCCTCTTAGTAAAAGATTTAACAGAAACACATTAAAACTTAGTTATAGCTGCACCAATAATCTTGAGAAGATCATAAAGTTACACAATAATAAAATTTTAAACCAATTTAATAATCTGAATCATAATACAAGTTGCAAGGAAAATATCGTTAATGATACTGGCCAGTGTAATTGTAGGAATTCTGACCAGTGCCCATTGCTAAGCAAATGTTTAGCTAAATCCCTTGTTTATCCTTGTACTATCTCTACAATAGAGAATCTGACAGATGAAAAGTTCTGTTTTGGGTAGTACTAAGAATTCTTTCAAGACCAGGTGGTATCAACATGTGTTGTCCTTTACTAATAATACTTATAGAAATAATACATCACTATCCAAATATTTTTGTATATTGTATTAATATCCTGGTAGTATTAGTAACATCTTGTACGGATGTATTGGTATTTGTTTGGTATTTTTGATATTTTGCATTGATTGGTTATTGTTATTAATATCTTATATAAAGAATCTTTAGTCAGCAGTTGCGCATACTATTTTACCAAGTAATTCTACATATTTAAATTATTTACTGGTTTCTTAAAGAAGCTATTTATTTACAACTATAAAAAAAAATTATATCTGAAACTCACAAAGCATATAACTTGTTTAACATTTTGTTAAATTACTGCTCCATCTCATTTTTTCTTAGGAAAGACACTGTCTAGTGTGTAAAAGAAAAAAAAATGTATCCATTAAAATCCGCTCCTATTTAATATCTGTGCTGCCATTGATTGCCAATCTACCATTTATGGAAAATAATTTTTGCTTCTTCACTTAATTTAAATTTAATGTAGGTTATATTCGATTGGTTGAGCATAGTAAAGCCCACAAACCTTATAACCCCCTTTTTTTTTCTTTTTTTTTTTTTTTTGTAAAGGAGGTTGCATTTTGCTTTTAAATCTAAATAAATCATTCACTCACCAGTAATTTACAATTGCCTGTTAAGATGCATTTGATACACATTGAAACATGGCTGCAATTGTGTAGCGATTTTGACATGTTTTGGATGTAATATCCTAAAATAAATAATATTGCTATATTTTGTATTGTGCCCTCTTAAATTAAATGTTACAAACATTGGAATTGTAATCTATTCATTCTTATCTTACCTGGATGGATGGATGGATGGATGGAGATAGATATATATATATATATATATATATATGATTTCATCGCTACATAAGAGTTCTCATGTTTTAAAACAAGAGCCGAAAACTTCAATATAATTATTTGAATTAAATTAAAGTACCAAGCTCTGTTCCATCTTCAAGCGAAATTTTTTTGGGAATAACTAATTCCTGAAATTTACGCATTTTATAAGCATATTCATTATTAAAATTACTATGGTAACGGCTAGAGCAATTATTTAAAGAAAAGGGGCATAAGGGTTAATAATTTGTATCAATATCTCAGTTACATTCAAAGACATCAAGTCAGGGTAAGGTTGGGGTGTCTAAATTTAAAGCGGAAGATGACATCGTCCAGTCTGGTTAAGTGTCTATGGAGATTTTATTTTTTATTTTATTTTTTATTTTTTTCTGAAAGGGTTTTGTGTATATAAAAAAAACTGTCATAATTCGCTAACATTTGTTTTCTTGATGACTTCATAAAGGGTTATCTTTTTTTTTTTTTTTTTTTTTTTTTATTATATATATAATATATTGTAGATAGAAATTTTTTGTTATCTACATCTTGGCAATTCTTGGAACATTATATTTCAAATTATGCCTCTATAGATTATACATATATGTAGAGTGATTTCATTGAGTTTGATAGCACCAAAAAGAAATATACAGGGTGCGATGGCTAAATTGTCTCCCTTTTATATTTTTAATTTTGTGTATATGTTATTGGTTTCTGATTTTGTCAACTGCACAGTATAGCAGGGTCAGTTGGGCACAGTCTGTGAGAAAAAGAGCACCATGACACAATTAATTCAGTCAGAAATTTGGAAACAGCATGCTGTACTGCTTGGCATTCATGCCAGAAGCTCCAATACAAACATTTCAGAGTTCTGTGGGTGTCAATCTGAGGAGAGTGCAGAGGATTCTGAAAGAGTTGGATGAGTCTAATGGTGATTACAAACATGTTTGGAGTGATCACTAGTGATGGTGATGTTAAGCCTCCATTCATCTTCCCACACAACCTCAGACTCAACATGGAGGCTTATATCGTGCCTTGAGGAGGTAGTGCTGTCTACTGGAAGACCCTATGTATGGCAACATGATTCTGCACCATGCCATGCAAGCAGAAAATCCCAGTCATTTCTGCAAACACATCACCCTTTACATCTGGCCACCTAACTCCCCAGACTGCAACCTTCTTGATTATTATGTGTGGGGTGCAGTTGAATGAGAGACCAACAAAACTCATAACACCAAATATGAATTAAAGACAAGGATTATGGCAGTATTCACCAACTTAAACAAGGAGACTGTCCAGAAGAGTTGCAGGAGATTCCGAAGTTGTCTGGAGGCTGTGGTTGAAGCCAATGATGATTTCATTGAATAAATTTACTCTTTAGTATTTTTGTATAATTTTTGTAAATATTTCTGTTAAAATGAGATGTTAGTATTATTTTCATTTTTGTGTAATTTAGATTTATCCATTGCACCCTGGATTTTTATAAACATTTAAAAGTGCTATTTCTTGTGGTGAAAGATATTTACTGCAAGTTGTAACTTTTGTATAATAATTGCGTAAGTATTTTTGAGTTTTTATAAATTAATATAAATTATGTATTTTATATATGTATCTCTGTGTGTGTGTGTGTATTTTAGGAAAATTAATGAGAAATTAAATTTTGTGGGACATATTTTGGCCTTTAGGACTTTATCAGACTAAAGTGATGTTTATGTTGATGTAGCTATACATGTGCAGGAAGGAGAGGGGACAATATTGTCCTTAAGGACAAAATACATCATATGAAAAATTTTCTCACTTTGTCATTAATTTTCATAGCATTGTTTTAGTATATAAAAATTTATATA